GAATTAAAAACTGCAACAATTTGTTTGGCTGTAAGTCATTTTTTATCTAAAACGTTTTTAACTTTTTTGAATTCTGTAGAAACTTGATTTTTGATATATGGAGCGTTATCAAAAAGTGATATCCAGACACTAAGATAGCTAGTTGAGTCTTTATGCGAAAGCGGTGAGAGCCAAATGTTCTTGTTATTAAAGGCGAAGTTAACAGCACTAGTGTCTTTAATGTTCGTTAGTAGAACTGATTTATCCCAATTTACTTGGATACTGTTAAGGGTGAAAAAAGAGTCTGCAAGAGTCATAATATGTTGGAGATCCATTCTAGAATCCGCCATCCAGAGGGTATCATCCATATAAGCGAGTGCTGAGACATGATTTGTGAAAGGGGTTGAGGAGTTTTTGGTAAGGTCTTTTCTCCAATTGACGCTTTGAGTATAGCCTAACTTGAAGTTTTGAATTCTGCACAATAATGGATCGTAATAGATACACCATAATATCAGAGAGATAATTTCACCTTGGTCGATACCTGATAGGACATAGTATCACTAGTCGAAATAGTCCACTTCAGCTAAATTTCGGCTGGCCGATTTTAAACCGAATTATGTACTAATGCCAATCGAAATCTTGGGCAAGATTCACTGCCATTCGGATGTAAATTTCGGTCAAACTTCGGTTAAATTTCGTGACAAACTATCGGTTAACATTCAAACAATTATATTAGCATTCGTTATATCGAATTACGTAGTTTCAACTAACATTCGGTAGTCAATACTATATCGAATTATGTAGCTTTTATTTAACATATAACATTTATAAAATAACAATTTATTTATTTATATTTAATTATGGTAATATTATATTTTGTAAATAAAAGTATACAATAATATACAATAACGAATATTTACCTTAAAATTCCTAAATAAAATAAGAAATAAAACGAATGGATTAATAAACGAAAAGTAAACGAAAAGTAAATGAATAAATGTATCGGTTCTTACTTAGTCTTGAATTTCAAAATATTCGTCATCATTTTTTTCTTCATCATGCGCAGGAATAATAGGTATTCAGTCACCTTAAAGACAATAAATATTAGCATATTAATTACAAAATAAGTTTTAAACGCAATTTGATATATTTACCTTCAATATCGGTATCATAAACTGAGTCTTCTTGCTTCACATAGCACCACTCAGGTGCGCTTACCGGATGTGGAAGATCATAGCACTGATTTTTGTTGTCATAATGGCGGGCTCTTACTAATTGAGCAGTTTGTAACATTAATGTGTGCGGATCGAGCACATTACGGAGAAGTTACTTTAACTAAAATAAAGTAATAAATAATAATATAAGTATCAAATATATACAAAAAAAAACAAATATCAGATATAGAACCTTGTCCGATCTTCAGAAAAGGTTGTATACGCAGATATTACGCGTTGTATCATTCTTCTTGTCAGTTTCACTTAATTCCGGTGAGTGAACTTTTTTATTCGTCAATAATGTAATCAATTCCATCCTGTCATAATCAATAACTTCTTGGTGTTTGATTGTATAGAGAGATTTTGCTCCCTTTATTCGGCGAGCCATTTTCTAAATTGTTTATTGTAAATATGAAAGTTAGTTATATACAATAAATATATAAAATTTAAGCAATAAATTATACCTCACTTAAACGACTATTGGCATGTAAGCGTCGATTATCACTGTCGATTCGTCCCTTATTTCTATAGTTGTTTCGGCTTTTTCAGGATCTATGTAATGATTGTAACCAATTGCTAATTTGGTCTGACGAAGCACGATGTTTCAGCTTTAATGACTTTACTAATTCAGGAATTAGTCTTCTTCGAATTTTGATATTTGCTGGGCTATTGAACATTTCTTCGTAATTCATATCGAGTTCAGGTGGAAGAGTCTTAATATAGTTTCATCCCTGCCTAAATTATTTACAAAAAAAGCAAGAAAAAATAGAAATTCGATGAGTATCGGCAACACCATAAAATATATAATCGTCTAAGAAAATTAGACAAACCCTAGCATATTTTTCGCCCATTTTTTTATCTCTCTCGTCGTGTGAACTTCTTTCAGCTTCAGAACTTTCATTTGAACTATCTTCTGGACTGCTTGAACTGTTCTCGTATTACATGTCTTTTGATTTCTTAGAGTGTTTACCTTCCGAAATACTTTTATATCACTTATCTTTCGGCCTAGTGTAATGTCTTTCTGAACCGCTCCTTACCTTTCGTTTAGATTTTCTAGCTTGTTTTGATTTATGCTTATTTGTTTGAATTTCATCATCCAATGATCGATTCAGGATTTTTGGTAATTCAAACGATTGATACTCTTTAAGGTCTGCTTGAAGTTGATCATTTTTGTGGCTGAACTCTTGATTGATTTCCATTAATAGTTCGTTACTTTCTTGTAAACTTTTATACTTTGAGGAAATCATTTGGAATTTATCATTAAGCTCATCTATTTGACGTCGAAGCTCGTCATTCTGAGCCTTTAATTTCTTGTTTTCGGCTTTAAAGTCTAAAAATGATCATAAATGTAGTAATGTCATTAGAATGTAAATATTTCAAATAAAATAAATAAAACAATACAACAATACACCAATTACTATAATCTTCTGAACTTCGTGCTGAATCTCGGGTGGATATTTCTCGAAATGATGATTCTTGAGCGGATGTTTTACGATTCGTATGTAAATACTTAATCAGTAGACGAATGTTTCGAATTGGGATTGGGCCTGAATGAATGATTGGCGTAGTGCTTGAAGAAACGGAAGTAGTCTTCGAAGACAGAGATTGAGTGATTGGTGTAGTGCTGGAAGAAATGGAAGTAGTCTTCGAAGATGGAGATTGAGTGATTGGCGTAGTGCTGGAAGAAATGGAAGTAGTCTTTGAAGATGGAGATTGAGTGTAAGTAGACTTCAAATGTGAAGATTGAGTGATTGGTGTATTAATCGATACTTTAGGAGAGGTAATCTCTGAAGTCAAATTCAAGCTTCGCCTTATATCTGCAGGGATTTCGAGACGAAAGCGGTCATTTTTCTTTGTATTTTGTTCTGGATCTTTTTTAGCTTGTTTTCCATGTTGTTTCATATTTATAATTTGTGAAGATTTATTTAACAATTATAGCAGATTTTAGACTTCAAGAAAGAAGTAAAAAAAAAATTCCGGTCGAAATGCTACTCTTTTTATATCTTTAGTTCGATAAACTTTTTACCGCGCTAATCAATTAAAATCATATAGATTAAAAATAAACTTTTTCAATTAAAATCAATAAATTCATATATATAGTACATATTAAATAAATATTATCAAATTAAAAAATAATTTTTTTGCTACGTCAATCAATTAAAATTATATATAGTTCATATTAAATATCAATAAATCACGAGTCAAATATCAATTAGAATTAATTTACCTTTTTGGAAAACAATAGTTTATTTAATGATTCAATTTATATATATATATATAGTTAATGTGACCAAGAACTTGTTCACTGAATCTACAAAATGATACGCAATAGAAAATTATCAAACATAATTAACGAAGATTCTTAACCAGTTACTAAAAAAACTAAAAGAAAAAGAGCGAAAGTTCAATGTCACTGCGGCAAATGCAAGGGGAAATTGGTTGATCCTCGTACAAAAGCAAGACATGATGATGAATTTTCATCACAAATTCCTACTATAGATACAAGTCAAGAAGTTTATGAAGACATCGATACTGATGAATCGTCACATTCGGTATCGAGTGTTAAAAATGAAGCTTTGATGCAGGATGTCGAATGGTCTGTTGATATAGAAGAAGTTCAGGATATAACAGATGGCAATTCATATGACAATATTGATTTTGACTTTTTACCTCGAGAACATATTTCGAGATATACAAAACTTTCCGCAAATTTTGACGTTAATGTTTTTGAGCGATCTGAATTTGAGCCTGAACAAAGCACTGATAATGATAGTGACGATTCAGTAAATATTGAGCTGAGTGAAATTTTTGAAGACTATTCATGTCCTCCATTTAAATTATTTCAAGACGTAAATGTTACACGTTCAAACCATAATGACTGATTTTTATGGATACTCTTATGAATAATGAACTTTCGAAAAAGGTTCAACATACCAGAAACAGCAACCGAGTCTTTAATAAAATTTATGAAGCTGGTGTTGATTGAGATTGGAGGAGAAGATTTTAGTAATTTCCCAGATACGCTTTACACAGCAAGAAATAAGCTTGGCTTGAAAGACCAATTTCAAACATTTATACCTTACCCAAAATGTCATAAGCTTTATGAAAGGGGTGAAGTAGAAAACTTTCGCCAAGACAAAACTCTCACGATAATGAAATGTCATTATATCAAGTTTCCCAATTCGTCTTACCGTCGATTGCGCTTGTGTCAAGAACCGTTATCCCGACAAATAAGATCATTAGATGGTATTATAATTCGACCAGAATTGATATATCCGTTTGCTGGAATTAATAATCAATTGGCAACAATGTTTCGTCGACCTAGTTTTGAAAGTTCTCTTAGACATTGGGCTAATCAGTCAAATTTTGATAATATTTTGACTGATATTTATGACGCAGAAGTCTGGAAAACTTTCAAATACGATGATTCGACATTTTTTTCCAATCTGAGGTAGCCGATTCACATCTCGGATTAATGCTGAACCTTGACTGGTTTCAGCCATAAGATGGTACAATACATAGCACAGGAGCAATATATGCAGCCATTTGCAATTTACCGCATGATATTCGATTTTGACGTGAAAACTTACTACTTCTTAGTCTATTACCTAGGCCAGACGATGTTAGTTTACATAAAATTAACCACTATTTCGTGCTGATTGTCAACGACTTGGAATTACTCTGGAATGGGATAACTTTGAACACAAACGAATGTCCAGATGGGAAGAGAGTTCGTGCGGCATTAATACTTGTATCATGTGACATTCCTGCCGCAAGGAAAATTTGTGGTCACATTTCAGCCCTTGTATCGTGCCACAGGTATGAAAAAAAGGCAAATTATGAGGAAGGAAAGCACAATTTTACCGGCATGAATAACATGGATAAATGGTTTGTTGACGTTGTAATTCGAAAACCTCAAGAGAATGATTTGTAAAGCAAAGTGGCGTAAGATGGACTGAATTGCTGCGCCTATCGTATTTCGATCCAATTCGCTTTACAACAGTCGATCCAATGCATTGCCTATTTTTGGGCATTACAAAGTGGATCGTAAAGCGAATTTGGATAGATCAAGGAATATTAACGATGAATATTCTAAACGAAGTACAGAAAAAAATGAATCAATTCTCTGTATTGGCAGATATCGGTCGGATTCCAGGAAAAATATACTGTGGTGAAGGTTTTTCGAATTTCACTACCGATCAGTGGAGAATCTTTTTTACAATTTATGCGACTGTTTCGTTTTAGGAACATTTAGGATATGAAGATAGGAAAGTTCTCACATATTTCATGAAAGTTTGTCAGCTTTTTGTTAATAGAATAATTGAAGTTGATGCAATGAGAGAAGCCCATCAGAAATTAATCGAAATAGTGAAACTAATAGAGAATAATTACGGCTATGACAAAATCATGCCGAATCTGCATTTGTCACTTCATTTGGGCGAGTGTTCGTTTGATTATGGGCCTCTATACACTTTCTGGTGATTTTCCTTTGAGCGTATGAATGGGGTGTTAGGTATATCAAATTTATATATTTTTATTAGCTTTTATTAATTTTCGTTTGATAATCTGCTAAAATTCATATTTCTTAGGTTTTTTACCAAATAGTTACCGACATATTGAACCAGAACTTATGCGAAGAATGATGTTTGACATACAGATTATGTCTAAAAGTTCTGAAATAGAAACGAAGGACACCAAATTACTTGAAATTCGGCTAAATGTCGGATCTTTATTTACAACAAACGAGTTTTCTTCCGATGAGATGTATTGATTTTTACTCCATTATAAAATGTTCAGAACTCGGCTATTACTGAAAAGGAAGCATTTCTAGGTGAAATGTTAAGACCTTCATCCAAAGATATTATAATGATGGCTGAAATGCTCGACTGAATGGTAGAATACCATACTGCAATCTATGAAATGTACAATTTTTGAAAGCCGTTTGGGGAAGGAGCGGAAAATTCAGTAATCATTTGTGTTAAGATAAATAAATACGGACGATGTCGAATCAGGTCAGAAATTTTCAGTTCTGCCTTATCAGCATGTCACATAAAAAGTTCGTTTATACGGGCGAAATTTATTACAAGTGATGATAGTGTTGACTGCTATCCTAGGCAAATTCAATATTTCTTCACGCATACAATCAATTTGCCTGATGGACCATCAGAACATCATCTAGCATATGTTCGATAATATCGTCACGTAGAATCAAAAAATGTAAAATATCATTTTTGTGTTAACGACAAAGAAGAGACATGTAACATTGAATTGTGGTATGGTGGCTTTTATTCTGAAAGTCGTGACTGCATAATTCCTGTTCATCATATTCTTGATCGATTCGTTCCAGTAAAATATAAAATTTTGAATCGGCGAAATGCAGTGGAATACTTGGCTATTAACCCGATTGACAGAAAATATCATATACGATAAATTTTTTACTGTAGACTTTTATTGATTTATATTTTTATCAATGTTTGAATAAAATTTGCCGATTTTTTTACATTTTAATTTTTTTAATAATTAAATTTAACAATTTTTTATTTTTATCTACACCGAAATTTACAAAATTTGATGACAACCAATCGATCATAAACAAGATATTTGAATCTCAACTGATTTTTAAATGACTTAATACCGTCCGAAGTTGTGGCGAAATTTCAGTCGAAAGTTATGGGCGAATTTTAGACGAATGTTGTTGATGATCGAAATTTGATTGAAATCGGTTTTACATCAGCCGAAATTTGGTCGATTTGTCACATGACCGAAACTTCTTATTTTGACTAGTGTATGCATTTGTATTACCATGTGCAGTAAATATCTGATTAAAACAAGGGTAAAAATTAAAATTATTAATTGGATAAAGATCATTGGAAGGTGTAGTCTAGTAAGTGCTTTAATTAACATTCCCAGATTGACTCTATCATATGCTTTCGACATGTCTTGAAAAAGGATCTAAAGGTCGTTATGATGAAATGATGCATCATATTTAATATTGTCGAGAATATTAATTGGTTCGAAAGTGCTTCTAAAAGGGAGACCAGCAAAATTGTTGCCTTTGAGAACATTATTCTTTGTTAAAGTGATGAGAAGTCGACTATTTATAAGTTTGATGAGAGCCTTTCTAAGACATTCTAATAAGGTGATCAGTCATGTATGATTAAGGTTAAATTCCTATAGTTTTAGTTTTGGGATGGAATATACGAAAGCTAAATTCCATCTATGTGGAGTTAGATTATGCGAAAGATAACTAGAGGCAATCTTCCAGAGACATTTAAATGCGAAAGAACCAAAATGTTTTAACATTTCATTTGATATTTTAGAAGGGCCAGGAGCTTTGCCATTCGGTAATGAATTAAGAATGTCAGACCATTCTGTTTTGGTATGAGGTTGCATAAGAGAATCATAGATGCCAGGATCAATGTCATCTAAAGGTGCATATTCCTTTGCCCATAGATCAGGGAGTGGTGGGTTGGAGTATCTGGATCCTACGATTTGTTGGAAATGTCGAGCTGTTTCTCTTTTAACTTCAGCAATCTAAGTGAATAGTTATACGAGGGCGATCAGTCTTTAAGGCTAGATATTGTTGTTGAGATTGAGGTCAATGTATAGGACACAAAAGTGGGTAAAGGAATATCATATTCCATTGAGAACAGTGAAACTTTATCGAATAAAGTACCCCATTTGCTGTTATAACTCCCACTGTTAAGACATAGTTTAGAAGTTCGTTCTAATTTGTGCAAAAGTTTGATACGTTTGTAAATTAACTTAAGTAATTTTGGTCTTAGGTTACGAGCATGATATGAGGTATGTTTATTCGGTATACTTTTAAGCGCAGCATTAATAATAGCTTTCTGCAAGAGATCCTATGTGTAGTTGAGCTTGTGGATGTTTGAAATATTGTC